TCTTAACCCAATTTCGAGTTTTGGAGAGGGGATACGACCTTTTAGAGAAAAAACAGAGTTCTAGAGAGAGAAAGTGCGAAGAACAAACCCTAGGAGCTATTTGGAGTGGATTTCTCACCATTGAAGCCCAGATTGCATCCCCAAGAGTGAAGATTGATATCCCAGAGCAGATTATTCCCATCTTTATGAGTATGGCTGCTTTCATTTCTATTTTCCTCTCTCTCTCTCTATGGAGTAGACCTTTCTCTCACTTGGGTATGAAGAACCCTAGTTCCATGTGTTAGGAATCTTGATTGTAATGACTTTTGGATTGATATACTGATTGATTTCAGTCGATTGAAGTGTTTTTATTGAGTCAATTGAATCCTGATCAACTTCTTTTGATTTCTGCTGCAACCTGAGATAGATAGAATCTGATTAGGTTGTTAGAGCTTCTTCAATCGATAGGAGTGAATTGATTGTACGAGAGTCAGTCAATTCACTACTTTGTACTGGAATCTGTTTCCAGTAGTGGAGTTCTATGTTAATTTCCTTAGCATTCTATCCCGGTGAAGACTAATCATCTGTTGGTTAGTCTGTCTAAGAGGGTTTGGTCAGGTTAAGAGATTCCAAGCTACTGTCGGATCTTCCGCAGTTTAATCAATAGTAAATCAACCAAAGGAAATTACAACTTGGACATAACTAAGGAGCAAGGGGGACTCAATCTCGAGTGACTCTTTCCCTGCTTAAGAACTTCGAACAATTTACTATTTTCTTTCTATTTAGTTTGAATTCACCTTCACTCACTTAGTCCCGCTGGATAATAGAAGTTCACGGAGTAGATAGTAGATCTAGACCCCAGATTGATAAATTAAACTTACCCACTATTCTTCATTTCCAGACTGCGATTATACTTGGTCGTAGTTTGGTGTTGTGTTTTAGCGTGTCAAGCACCATCTTTACAAGTTCCCTGTCCTATTTACCACACACCTCCTCAGTTTCATTCATCCATAGATGAAGGGGGGCACACTGAGCATGAGGCAACTCTAGCCATTCCTACTTCTGACTCCATTGAGCACTACATTTATTTTGACTCCGATGCACAAGAATTACATCCCCAAGCTGATATTGACCCAGATGATCCTAGCACAGAAGCCAATAGAAGGCCTCCAAGGCACATAAAATTGCCAACCAAATATGGTGACTATGAACTTGACTCATCTCTCAAATTTGGAGCATTTGGAGGTGCAAACATTGGCGGATCCAAGGGGTGGCCACCCCGGGCCCCGGCCCAGCCCTCTTCTGGATCCGGCGTTAGAATAATCCTTATAAATTTGTCGATTTTAGTCATTCAGCCCAGTGTTATTTTATAATATGATTGTGTATAATTAGAAAAATGATTCAGATGAACATATTCAATTCACTACTCTAAATTTATCCTAGAAATTCTAGCCCCAAAGGTTTTTCGTCTAAAAAAACAATGAAAACTAAAAATCCTAAAGTCTAAAGCGTAAAAGACTAAAAGAAATATGAGGTTTGTTCCCTTAAAATTTTACTAGAGCAGCATGGTGGATATAGGGATGGACACACAGTGCAAATTGATTTGTCTAGTGTTGATGTTTCTCGTTTCAACGGCTACCACGGAGAGAACCTTTTCAACAATGAAACATGTGAAAACTGATTTGCGCAACAAAATGAGAAACGAATTTCTCGTTGATTGCTCAAGTATTTTATTTGAAACATAGTTGGTATGGATGTAGATTTAATTATTGATGCATTCGCTAAATTAAAAGACCGTCGTGTACAATTGACATTGTAAAAAAAACTATAATCATAATATTTTTTTTACGATATCGAATTTTCTAATGAAATGCGGCTCAGTGCTCTACTGTGTTCTGGATCCGCCGCTGGGTGCAAACTCTTGTACCAGGCATCCAGTTTGTTTGAGTGTCAATACATTAATCAAAGAAGATTTTCGTTATGCACTGAATCTTTTTAATCTAGTGGAACCTAAGTCTTACTATGAGGCACTGAAATCAGATGTTTGGAACAGGGCTATGAAGGAGGAAATGAATGCTTTAGAAGAGAATAAAACCTGGGACATAGTGCCTTTGCCTCCACGTGTGAAAGAGATTGGGAACAAGTGGGTTTATAAGATTAAACTCCACCAAGATGGATCTTTGGAAAGGAACAAAGCCAGACTGGTAACTAAGGGGTATACACAAGTCTATGGAATTGATATCCTAGACACATACTCACCTGTGGCCAAGATCAACATAGTGAAAACCTTTATGGCAATTGCAAGTGTGAAACATTGGGTACTAGAGCAGTTGGATGTCTCCAATGCTTTTTTACATGGAGATTTGGATGAAGTGGTTTACATGAAGTTGCCTCTAGGGATGGAAGTGACTTCTGGAAGCAATCTAAGGATGACTTGTAGATTGAAGAAGTCAATATATGGCCCTAAACAAGCATCAAGGAAATGGTTTGCAAAGTTAACAGGTTTCCTATTGAAGTTTGGTTTTCCACAATCTGCATCAGACTATTCACTCTTCACTAAGTGGACACAGTGTTGTTAGTCTATGTAGATGATATTATATTGGGAGGAGATTCAAGAAAGGATATTGAACAAGTGAAAACAGCCCTTCGCAAGGAGTTTAAGATCAAACTCCTTGGACCACTTAGTACTTCCTGGGTTTAGAAGTGACAGAAATGAGAATGTTTTAGATGTATGTCAAAGGAAATACTGTATTGAGTTGTTGAAAGACACGAGGTACCTGGAGTCAAAGGGTTGTAAAACACCATTAGACACCAAGGTGAAGCTAACATCTCAATGGACTCCACTTGAAGATGCAGAAGGCTACAAACGTTTGGTTGGCAGGCCGCGCTACCTGACCATTACCAGACCAGACATAGCATTTGATGTTCAGCAGCTATGTTAGCTGTTCATATGCAAGCTGCTTACAGGGTTCTCATGTATTTGAAGTCCTCACCGGACTAGGGGATCCATTTTAGTAGTGAGGCTGAGTTGAAGATGACTGGATATAGTGACTCAGACTGGGAAAGTTTCCCTCACACAAGAAGATCCATCACTGGATACTACACTAGGCTTGGTTCTTCCTTACTGACATGGAAAACGAAGAAACAAACCACTGTCTCAAGATGATCTTCTGAGGCAGAATATAGAGCATTAGCTCATCTTGTTTGTGAAGTGGAATGGCTTAAGAGACTGTTTTCTGAACTAACAGTAGAGGTGTCCTTACCTATAACAGTCTATTGCGATAATAGGTATGCTATCCATATAGTAGTGAACCCAGTCTTCCATGAGAGGACAAAGCATATCGAGATTGATATGCATGTGACAAGGGAGAGGATTAAGATTGGTTTGATTAAGTTGAAGTATATTAACACTGCTGAACAGCTTGCAGATATATTTACTAAGGCACTGGATCGTTTCAGGCTGAAAGAGTTACTTGTCAGGTTGGGGATCAAGTTGATACCACCAACTTGAGGGGGGCTGACAGAATCGAAGGACAGGAGAAGAACAATTACAGAGAAGAGTTGAGAAGAGTTGCAGAGATGGAGAATCCAGGTTGCAGAAGGATTCCTAGAACAGAGGAGACGAAAGGAAGAAACGACAGCGTGTTGGCTTGACGACGCCATTTAGCTTATTTTGTATTAGTCGTTAAACGTTACTGTTAATTTGATTTTGGACCAATCTTCTAAAAACACCTGTTGTTTTTGTTAATCGCATTTCCAACTATATAAGCTAAAGGAAGACTCAGAGTTAGCTGAGCTTCTTCTCCAATCCTTCTTCTAAAATTGTTAGAAACGGTCTTGTTTAATTATATTGTGTTTTATTAATGGTATTTGACAAAAAAATAAATTAAAAATCCGAATACAAACGTTGTCATAAAAAATAGCTAATTAACGGCCCATGTTTCGTCAGTACCATGGTTAATAACAAAATCTCAGCATCAGATTTAAGTGGGTCAAGAAAATCTAGATCTAAGGGTGGAGATCAAAGACATTTTTATTTTTCCTTGTTTTCTTAATCGACTCATATCTTCTTCGTTTTAACTCGAATTTTAATTTTTTTTGCACAGATGGAACAAGTTCGTTGTGCTCTACAAAATGAGATCCATTTTCAATATTTTTTGAGAAATTTTTTTCCTTGCCTTTCATTACCAATTGCATACTATATGGTATTTTCTTTGTTTTTAAGTAGTTTTAGAAATTTTTTGCACAGAATGAACGAGTTCTTCATGATCTATTGGATCTACAGATTTCTGGGTGAACCAAATACATGACAAAAAAATACCACACAATACCCCTGGTATGGGGTGGTATCTTGTGGTACACAATATTGAAAGTCGTAAATGACAGTTAGTAAATACCTATTATCATGTATTTAATCATCCTACAATCTTTGTATGTTCATACTACCATGATAAGTTTTTTCATATCATATGGTATATTCTTATTTAATACTAGTCAATATCATAAAAATGGCAGACATTAGGTTTGGTGGGGATCGAATTACGATCTTAAAAGTTGAAAAGATGTAATCTAACATATTAATATGGATTGAGGGTCAATATAATTCGGATAAATTTGAGAATGATTCATTGATAGGTGTTTGCACGGCTCAATGAGTAATCAAATCTGGACCCTTATTTTAAGTGACTGCAGATCTAAGGGTGGAGAATTAAAGGAATTTATTTTCCCTAGTTTTCTTAATGGGATCATCTCTTCTTCATTCTAACTCGAATTTCAATTTTTTTTTGCACAGATGGAACGAGTTCGTTGTGCTCTACAAAATGATATCCATTTTCAATATTTTTTGAGATTTTTTTTTTCATCCCTCTCATTACCAACTCCATACCATATGATATCTCCTTCGTTGTTTAGTCATTTTCGGAAATTTTTGCACAAAAGGAACGATTTAATCATGATCTATTGGATTTCAAAATTTTATGGGAGAAAAAATTTCAAACCTCTCGTTACCAACTCCATACCATACTATACGTCTATACCACCCTGGTATGAGGTGGTATTTTTCATACCATATGGTATGCTGTTATTTAATACCATATGGTATTGACTGGTATTAAATAACAACATATGATATTGACTGGTATTTTTCATACCATATGGTATGCTGTTATTTAATACAAGTCAATGCATGTTTTTGGATGTTTCTCAATGCATGTTGAACAAAACTATAGTCCATGTCGCCCCGAAATTTGTAGGTCCAGCCTCATCCGATTGTTTGTCGTGGTTTCTTGCCCTTGGTACCAAGGTAGGCTACTATCTATCTGACTTAGCTTCGGTTTGTTGCCTCTGTCTTGGCCTTGGTTGACGTCGTTCTTGATGTCAGTGTTATATTGCATTCACTAGGCCAGCTCATGGTGCAGAAAGCATTTGAAGATGACTCTGATGTCCATACAAGATTCTCAAGAGGAAGAACACAGCCGTCTCTTCTTTCAGGTTTCTGGGACTATTGAGTTTGGTTAGATTTGGATTCTGGCCTTTTTTCTCTCTCAGCCATCACGTGCTGTTGTTCAGTTTGTATGTCTTGTATTCAAAGGAGATTGCATTTTAACTTCAATTTGAGTTGTCCAGACCAGTTGGTATCCACTTAAACAAATGCACTAATGTAATGCTGTATGTTCAGTTTGAATGTCCGCATGAGCTTTTAGACATGTGTAAACCCTTTAGAAGAAACCAAGTCTCATGAGAGCTTCCACTTCCTGTTGTCTGCATTTCATATGGCAGTTTCTGGAGCGTGTCTTCGTTTTACTCGGTAACTGAATCCCTGGGGTCTGTTTCAGACTAGTTTTACATTCTCGACTGATTAAGCAAGTAGTCTAATTGGTTTCCACATACGAGAGAGACCCTGCAGAGTTCTTCCCATTGAGTATGAAGATTAAGGTAGCTATATGTAGGAGAAACTATGCATGCTAATGTGTTAGTTGAGTAAACTCATGGCTATTAGATGTTTCAAATCTAATTGCATATCTTATTTCATGGAATATCATTCAGAATTGGTTATGTTGCAGCAAATTCGTGCTATTTCATGAACTGAGAATGCAATCATCCTTTGTACTTGTCTCCTCTCTCTCTCTCTCACTCGCACATTTTTAAAATTCTTCTTTTGCAGCTTCTTCTGGAGTTGCTCAGCCTATCTACTGCTAACATATTGTCTTTAACAAAATATCCACTTCTCAGCAGCAAGGAATTAGTAGACGTTGAGAAATTCATTCTGGAGCTGCTAAATATGATAATATATGTGGTCGTTGAGATTAAGGTAACCCAACCTTCTCTATAAAGATTTCTGTCATTGGGAATGTTGTTTGTCAAATGGGAAGCCAGATTGTCACCAAACGTAATAGGTCACTTTCATTATTTCTTGTCCATAACTCTGTTATTGACTATTGCTGATCTACTTTTTCCTTTTGCTAAGCAGAGGATTAATTCATTGGGTTCTGAAGTACTAAAGGTTGCACAAACATCAATTGATGCTTTGATAAATATGTGCAAGAGGTATTTTCAAATTATCAATGAGAATCTATGTGATGCAAGTCTTAAAGATTCTAGTGCCACTGCACCGGAAGTGGTCTGTAAAAGATCATGTTCTAAGTATCACAAAATATATGGTTGAAAAATTGTGTGAATTGGGGAGCCTAGCTGCAAGTGATGGTGGAAGTCTGGTCACCATTCTCAATGTGTCTTGGAAAGGTGTGGTTACTCTGCTTCAGTTGGGCAAGGAAGTAATAATGCAGACAGTAAATGTGCAAGACATCATTAGGACATTAATATCACTGGTAAATGGGCATCTTAAATGTGCAACTAAGGCCTGGTCTTCCACATAAGAAACTATTTCTATTGCAGAATCAAGAAGGACTTTTCTTCCGGTGAAGTCTTACCTTCTTAATGCAGCTAAAATATCATCACTCTATCCATGCCAAGCATGTCTTGTTTATAGAGAAATACTGTTCTGCATTCTACTTATCTCAACCTTTATAACTTCACTGAGCTATGAGAAAAATTTGGACAATGCTAGTGGAGTCTGCTCAGAACTTTTAGATAAGACATCCTTGGATCTTCTTATTTCTATATTGATTTCAGCTGAAGTGAACCCAGATCTCAAGTTTGAAGTTCTGAATTGGTTATTCACCAATGAATGTGGCACGCTTCCGAGGAAATAGATTCAAATGCTTGCTACAACATAGGTTCAATGACTGAAATATTGTCTGCCAGTTGCGAAGCTGTGCCCAGGTCATCACTGCTGCTACTTGGTCGTGTTGCATTGTTCAATTCTTTGCTTAGCCACTCTGCTGGTTTTGACGAAGATGTGAAGATCAAAAGCACTAGAAAACTAGGACGGTTCTTGGATGTTATAGTCGATGAGGACATTTACTCTTGTGTTCTTATCTTGCAAATTCCGGTACTACATGGAGTTGGGCAAAAGCTGGAATTGGACTTTGGCAGCCCATATTTTCAGCTCTTTTAGATTCAATGAAAACTTTTATGATTGTTTCATATTCAAGTGTTGCTTGGGAGGAATAGGAGGATTTCTTGCTGGAGAGTATTTATCATCCTCATGTTCTTCGTTGGGAAATCATAATGGAGCTATGGTGCTTCGTGGTTCGCTATGCTGAAGAAGAAGTTGCAAAAGCTCGTATTTATAAACTTTTTGTTGTAATGAAGCTGATAGCAGATCCTGCATTAGTTATTCTTCCTACGCCTCTGCTGAGAAGGCTTGCAAGAGCAGTCTGTTTGTTTCTTACAAATAGTACAGCTTCAACAGTAGATCATGCTTACAGTTTTATGGTTGATACTGGATCACATTCATCAATGGTCATATATTCAGCATTCAGCATTGCTCTTGGAAGGTTTTCCTCTAAATCTACTGTCGGAGAATGTAAGATCTAAGGCCAAGCAGAAAATTTTGACGGATTATTTTGGATTCATAGATAGTTTTGATGAAAGCCTACTGCCAGTTAGCAGCCCCAACTTGTTTGGAACACCAGTGATTGCTATATGTGCTTCTTTGCTTATTTTCTGTCATTATATGAAGTTTTAATAGTACTAGCCTTCTCAGGATCCAGATAGTTTCTGCCTCAAGTCTGCTGTCGTTATTAACCCTTTTGATTTATGAATTGTGATAGATGACTCGTGTTCAGATTGATACAATGTTACGCATGATAACTATTGACTGAACTTCTCTTTCTTGTAGGCAGGTTAGCATATCTGATGTTGACTTGAAGACCCTGAAGTTTATAATTAATATTATTCAGAACTTGAAGCATCCCAAAGGTGAATCAATGAAGGAATGTTGTCTTATGCTCTTGAATGTAACATTAGAAATCGGTCTCAGTGATGAAGCACCTATATCAATCAGATGAGATGGAGAAATTTATAGAACTCCACGGTCTTTTTATCTCTGGTCCGACAGCTTCAGATTCTTGCTTGTACCAGTGCAAACCACATCTGGCACTCTTCATGGGAGGGCTTGCGGACGTGCAGATGTCAGAAAGTAATGATTGTAAAAAGACCACCGCAGTGTGGGATTTATACCACATGCTGTTGAAGGAACAACACTGGGCACTCGTCCACCTTGTCATTCCATCATTTGGGTACTTTGCTACCCATACTTCATGCAATCAACTTTGGAGATTTTTCCCACAAAATGCAGCCCTTTCGTATGACGTTATGTCAGCAAGTGAAGTATCAGAGCAGAGATTCATGTCAGAGTTGAAGGCGTTCCTGGAGAAGGAAGTCGCTGTTTTAGCAACTGTCTCAGCCAGCTCCTAGCAACATGAGTTGCTTGTGAAGGAAGGAACCATACTTAGAGAAATGGTTCAGAAGGTTTACAACATGAGCATAGAAGAGGCTACAGAATCTGAAGGCTTGTTGGGATCCAACATTGTTGACATCCAATGCAGCAAGAGAAGAAAACTTCCCGATGGAATTAGCAGAGGAGTTGAATTGTTACAGAGGAGTTGAATTGTTACAGAACAGTCTCAAGTTCATTGGCGATGGTCTGTCTCAGTGGCAACAGAATCATAATGTTGAGTCCACTGAACTTCAAGAGAAGTTCTTAGCTCACTATTCTCGGCTTGAAGATGTGGTCTCGCACCTATTAGGCTTATTAGGCAGTGGCTGAAGCTTATCATTTCTTGCTGCTCTGTCAGTGAACAGTATTCTCTCGCGCGGTCTGAATTCACAACGAAGTTCATCATATATGTATATCCTCAGTAGTAGATCACCAATGACATGTAAATGGAAGTCAATCCAGGTATGCCTAATATTCTCTTAGCCATTAACCGTAAGGCTGGTGATTTAGTCGTAGGACTTTGGAACTTGATGAACTTGTCACTTCTGTTGAATGCACTAGATCAAAACTCATCTATTTCGCCAATTGAAATTCATATCTTCAGATTGTCAATAGCGGTGATGTTCTCATGAACAACCAACTACAAAATTACCACGAATCTTGGTGTAAACCATTGTTTTCTAGATATTTGATTGAGCTAACCTAGGTTGTATGGTCCTTGAAATATTCCTTACTCTATAGTGATCAAGAGTATCATGTTAATATATGGTTCAGGGAAGTAACAGTTATTTTTAGAGAAACACGCCTTTTCTTTTGGTGAATGACAAACACACTTTTGGTCCTAAGTACAAACCAAAAAAGAGTTCATTATCTTAAAGACGAGAACAATGGACTGTTATAATGAAAGTGACAAAAGACCAGTACTGTTGTCTGGAAAAATGATTACAAGATTCGTCGGAGATATATATCCAAAGGATTTGTTCCCAAAGATAGGAATGGATTTTGCGCTCAAGTACACTATTGATTATTTTGGGATTACAGAATCAAATCGACAAAGTTGATTGTATATTTGGTAAATTGTTGACACTGTGTGGCCCATATGGATGCCTATTGGAAGAAGATTGTGGTTCATGTGGGGAAGAAACAAATTTGATAAAACGATCACGTTGGCACGGGTACAACCCATCTTTGAGAACATGTTGATTGGCGCACAGGATTATCGGATTGCAGAGCGCCCACATACTATCTGATGACGCTGTTCTTGTGCGTGTGCGAGAATGTTCTCACGGATGGATTGCGAAGAGTGAAAGTCCTTGGGATTATTGAACGTAAATCTGCGCACGAGCCTATGCAAACAGGATTGAAAGTCGTAGATAGTTTGGTTCCTATAGGCCGTGGTCAACGAGAACTTATAATCGAGGACCGACTCAACCTGATTGATCGTATGTATCACTCCGATAGATCCCCTACCAGGCTTGCCATTCTCAGGTGGGTTTGCCCTTGGCTGTATGTGATAGGGGTGCCAGCCGCCCACCGGTTGTTTATGGCTTTTCCATTGAGCGTCTTCGAGTTCGCCGTAACTGGATCAGAGAAGAATCTGAATTGTCCATTTCTTTACAATTCAGGGTGGCCTAGCCTGTCGAGTAAACAAGGTCTCCATACTTAAAAATGTTGAACAATAGAATCTTTATCGAGCCCCCACAAATCCCTAGTTGCTCCAAGTTGCCACAGTGGCTAGCACCAATGATCACTTTGTTGAGACGGCAAAAAGCTTGGAAAGGCTCTCAGAAACAATCATGGCTTACTGCACAAACATATATACACTAAATTATCTTTCAAATTAGAATGGCTGCGATCCACTTGAGTACTGGAACCCACTCAGGCCAACTTTAAGCAGCACCCAAATCAACAAATTGACCAAAATTGGACAGCAAAAAGTAGAAGCCAACCGAATCAATCATATAATCTGCTGGCAGTGAATAAGGCATAGACTAATGCAAGTTGCATTCATGACCAGAGTCTCGTTTTGGATCTGTGTACTGAAACGTACCTTTTTTCTTCCTCCAATATATATTTAACCATGGCATTGGCATGCAGACTGCAGAGCCACAGCAAAGGGACACTGGCCTTTATAAGAGGAGACAAAAGAGAGAGAAAGCTCATCACATTTCCTTTCAAACAGCATGAGATCTGCCACCAAAATTCTTCTGCTGATCCTCTGCTTGCCACTGGGTATCATGTTCATGTCGACATACAACGAAGAATTAGGATACTACGTGGGGCAGGGGACGCAGGAGTTCGATGTTCGTGTGATCAACGGCTTCACCAGCAACTCATCACTTCCCCTGATCATATGGTGCTCCTCCGGGGACAGTACCGTTGATCTGGGCGGGAGAGCACTCCAGGAACGTGACGATTTCGGCTGGAGCTTGAAGACGAAGCTCTACAGCAGCAGCATGTTCTTGTGTACTATGAAGTGGGATGCGAAGAGAAGGAAGTTCGACGCGTTTAAGGCGCCCAGGGACGTTCGCAGGTGCAGCCCTCTGAGGAAGTGTTCTTGGCTGGTCAGGGAGGATGGCTTCTACTTCAGTAACGACGAAGTGAATTGGAAGAAAGACTTCTCTTGGTCGTAGCTAGTTAGCAGTTAATGTTCTTTCATTTTACTTTTTTCTTGTGGGTTGTTTTGCTGTTGAGCCAGCCGACATGGGAGGCAAACTCCATGATTGAGATGGATCATGATGATGTGGATCTGTTACCTGTACTTTAGGCATTTTGTTATCTTCTTGTTAGTTGTTGTTTGTGGACGTTGTGGTCCACTCTTTTCTCCTGCTTACACTACTTCTGTTGCTTTTCCTCCGCTGCATCATCTGCTGCCTTGTACTATATAAACAGAAGAGTCAATAATAAGATAACCAAGCCTTGAGCACTTTTATGGTATCAGAGCATACCTAAACTCTAACGAGTCAAATTCCCTTCTTTTTTTTTCTTCTCTGTTCTGCCGTGTCTCACCATGGCCACCGAATCATCCTCTATTTCTTCCTCTTCTGCTTCTGGCGATTCCACCTCCATGCCGCCCACTCTCTCTGCTATCGCCCTACCAGCCAACCCCCAACTCAGCATCAAACTCACACCAACCAATTACCTCCTATGGCATGCCCAAATCACTCCGCTTCTTCGCTGTCACTGTTTGATGGGCCATGTCGACGACTCTCTTCCGGCTCCACCGCAAACTGTTGATGGCCATTCCAATCCAGCCTATTGGACTTGGTATCAACGAGATCAATATGTCCTCTCTTGGATCAATTTTTCCCTCTCTGAATCTGTGCTGTCCAACGTCATCAATAAGGCAACGGCATTTGAGGCGTGGTCTGCACTTGCCACCATCTACGCCTCTGGTTCACAAATACAGATCCGGCAGCTCACCAAGGAGCTCCAAAACATCCGCCGCGGCAGCTCCAGCGTTCATGAGTATCTACAAAATGCCAAATCCAAGGCGGATCAATTGGCGGCACTCGGCTCCCCTGTCAAAGGCGATGATCTCACGGCTTGGATTCTTGATGGCCTGGGTGAAGATTATCGGCCTTTTGTGCGTCATAATGAAGCAAGGATGGAGCCAATTTGCTTCGAAAATCTACACTCCCTTTTGCTAAGTGAGGAACTCCAGATCAAGCGCTACTCTTACTCTTCGGAATCTCCGGCGCCGTCTGCTTTCTTCACCAGCGCAGGTGGATTTCGTGGTCGCGGAAACAGAGGGAGAGGGCGCGGCAGCCCTGGCCGTGGCCGTTTTTCTAACCCTATGTTTGCTCCTCAATTTTATGGCAGGTCGAGCCCAACTGGCGGTTTACTAGGCCCTCGGCCCAATGGCCAGCCTGTGGTCTGTTTCAATTGTGGAGGAAGAGGTCATATAAAACCTCACTGTCCCAGCCCAATTTCCCAGCCCACTTCACTTTTACAGCCCGCCCAGCCCATTCATCCTCGCCCTCCAGCTGCTGCTGCCGGCCCACATGCCTTTTATTCCTCTTCCCCAGCCCACCACTTAGATCCACAACAATGGATTCTTGACTCAGGTACCCATCATCATCTCACCTCGGATTTGGACAATCTCGCTCATCATTCTGAGTACAACGGGACTGATACTGTCACGTTCGGCAATGGGAACTCTCTTCCCATTTCTAATCTTGGCTCTTCCACGATTTCGTTATCCAATGTTCCACTTTCCTTGGATAATATTCTTCATGTGTGTCATGCTCCATACAATCTTCTTTCTATTAGTTCTCTCACTCGGTCTAATCCTATATCCATTGAATTTTTTGATTCCCTTTTTCTTATCAAGGACCGACGCACGGGGCGTGAACTTCATCGCGGCTTTGCGGTGGATGGTCTCTACTCTCTTCCCCTCCATATCTCTCGTCATCTTTCTCCTGTCGCTTGTGTGGCTTCGTTTGACACTTGGCATCGTCGTCTTGGGCATGCTAATGCACGTGCGGTCAAGCAGGCTCTTCATCACCATCAAATAAAATACACTCATTCTCCTTCCTCCTTGTGTCACGGCTGTGCCGTTAGTAAGATTCATAAGCTGCCTTTTTCTGCTTCTACGTTTAAGGCTCAAGCCCCTCTCGAACTCGTTTGTAGTGATGTATGGGGTCCTGCACCCACTCTGTCTTATGATGAGCAATCCTATTACATTATCTTTTATGATCACTATAGCAAATTCTCGTGGATTTATTTCATTCGCTATAAATCACAATTGCTTAACGTCTTTATTCAATTCCGGCAATTGGTCGAAAAATATTTTGGTCTTCCCATCAAAACCTTCCAATCTGATTGGGGTGGTGAATACCAGGCCTTATCCACCTATCTCTCTCAACATGGCATTGCTCATCGCTCCTCGTGTCCATACACTCCTGAACAAAATGGGTGCGCTGAACGTAAGCATCGGCATATTGTTAATAATGGTCTTGCTCTTCTTCATCAATCTCATGTTCCCTTAAAATACTGGCCTCTCGCCTTCGACACCGCTTGTTATCTCATAAATCGAACTCCTACTCCGCTTCTTGATCATGACTCTCCTTTCCATTTTCTTTTCCGTCGTGACCCCGATATTTCCAATCTTCGTGTTTTTTGGTGTCTTTGTTACCCCTGGCTTCGTCCCCTTACTCCAAACAAATTAGCACCTCGCTCTGTTCCCTGTGTCTTTCTTGGGTATAACAAACTTCACAAAGGTTACCGTTGCCTTCACATTCCCACTGGCCGTATTTATGTTAGCCGCCATGTTCTATTTGATGAGTCACATTTTCCATTTGCCGAGGTTCTCGCCACCATACCCTCCTTACCAGCTTCTATCTCCGATCCAGTCCTCCTCCCACCCCCCATTACTCATCCCGTTCCTCCCACCCAGCCCATTATTTCCACCACCCCCGCCCAGCCCATCTCCCCTCTTCCCCGGCCCATTTCTCTAACTCCGCCAGCCAACACCCAGCCCAACTCTCCTCTACCCCGGTCCACTTCACAACCCTCCCCCACTGTACCTCAGCCCGTTGCCCCTTCTTTATCTCAGCCTTCCCTCCAGCCCACATCCGCCCCATCCTCAGATCCCTCGTCTTCCTCCACGGCCCACGAGATTCAGGCCACGCCCCCCACACCACTGCCATCCTCCAAACCCAATCCTGCTCCAGTGCGTCCTCGCACTCCCCTGCCTCCCCGCCGCCCGAATCCTCAACGCCCTCCGTTTTCCACTTCTCCCCGTCCCCTCACGGCGACTCACGCAACAAGCTCCACTCATCCTATGGTGACCCGCATCAAAACCGGCAACCTCAAACCCAAGGCTTTTCTCACTCACCTCCACATCGATGACACTCCGACCACACTCAAACAGGCCATCAAAAACCCGCTCTGGCGCTCGGCTATGCAAGAGGAGATTGCTGCTCAGCTTCGAAATCAAACCTGGGATTTGGTACCGCCGCCGCCCGACTGTAATATACTCTCTAATAAGTGGGTCTATCGCACAAAGCTTTCATCCTTCCGGCTCCTTGGATCGTTGCCGAGCTCGTTTGGTTGCTCGTGGTTATGAGCAGATACCGGGTCTGGATTTCGGACTCACATACAGCCCAGTTCTCAAACCAGCTACCCTTCGGCTGATCTTGGGGCTTGCGGTTACACAGGACTGGCCACTCCATCAAATCGATATTGCTAATGCTTTTCTTCATGGTCAGTTGCAGGAAACCGTCTATATGCAGCAACCAGCTGGCTTTGTTGATCCCGCCAAGCCTGATCATGTCTGTCGTCTTCGCAAATCTATATATGGGCTTCGTCAAGCACCCAGAACTTGGTTTCGTTGTCTGGCAGGGGCACTCACTCGATTTGGGTTTACGGTTTCCAGAACTGATCCTTCCCTGTTCATATACAAATCAGGTCCAGTCAGGGTTTATATGCTCGTCTACGTTGACGACATCATCATCACCGGTAATGACTCCTCCTTTATTCAGCGGCTGTTCGCCTTTCTCGGCGAGAATTTTGCGCTTCGGGAACTAGGCAGCCTATCTTATTTCCTGGGCATCGAAGTGTGTCGCACATCCACTGGGATTCTTCTCCGCCAGCGCAAATTTATCCAAGACTTACTTGAACGGGCACATATGTCCGAGGCCAACGCAATTTCCACTCCCTGCACAACCGACATTGTTCAGCAGTCAGTGCTGTCTTCATCGCCTCTGTTCTCGGACCCTGCCATGTACCGAAGCATTGTAGGTGGGTTACAGTACCTAAGCTTTACTCGCCCAGACGTTGCCTTCGCTGTGAATCATGTCTCTCAGTTCCAGCACTCGCCTCCTGAAAGCAACTGGGCCGCCGTCAAGCGGATTCTTCGCTACTTGAAGGGATCTCTCGATCGCGGGTTGCACATTTCTAAATCTTCTTCTCTCCATGTTCACGGCTATTCGGACGCATCGTGGGCATCGTGTCCTCAAGATTGCAAATCAGTCACCGGGTTCGCTGTCTTCTGCGGCTCCAATCTGGTTTCTTGGTCAACTCGGAAACAAAAATCAGTTGCTCGTTCTTCAACGGAATGTGAGTATCGCGCCCTTGCTACGCTCGCTTCGGAGGTTCTCTGGCTGCAATCCCTACTCACTGAGTTAGGACAGCAGCTGCCCTCCGCTCCTGTTCTTTGGTGTGACAATCTAGGGGCTACCTTCCTTGCTCATAATCCCGTGTTTCACAACCGGTCGAAGCACATGGAGATTGAATTTCATTTCGTACGTGATCAGGTCAGCAAAGGGCAAGTTCGAGTTCATTATCTTCCAGCTCCGGAACAACTCGCAGATGTCCTCACCAAACCGTTGTCCAAGCAGCCATTCATCAAGTTCTGCTCCAAGTTTCGACTCTCCGAGCCTCAACTTGCGGGGGGAGGGGGGGGGGTGATGATGTGGATCTGTTACCTGTACTTTAGGCATTTTGTTATCTTCTTGTTAGTTGTTGTTTGTGGACGTTGTGGTCCACTCTTTTCTCCTGCTTACACTACTTCTGTTGCTTTTCCTCCGCTGCATCATCTGCTGCCTTGTACTATATAAACAGAAGAGTCAATAATAAGATAACCAAGCCTTGAGCACTTTTAGATCAATCCTTCATACTTTTTCTACCCCTTGACATCTTTTTTTTTCCATAGGAAACCTGTTCTCACACCTGGTAATTACAGAGCGGTACTGTATGCTTTCTTTCTTTCTTTCTTTCTATTATTAGAGTAAGATTCTGCCATGTCGAGTATTGCTTTTGATGTCTGTGACGAGTAGACAAGTTCTTTCAAGAACTGTTCATCCATGGATTGAACCCACTTGTACATATCAGAGCGATCCTCCTTTCCTTTTTCTTCTTTATGATTTGGACCTATCCTTCTTCCTTGAAAAGGGTTTGCTTTATTTTTTCTGAATTTCTATGTCCAATCTGGTCTATCAGAAGATGAGTAATGTCAGGGTTGGAGTCTGGATTTAGTTTCCGGGGCCGAAATCCGGTTACCGTAAAATACGAAAAATACTAATAAACAAATATTTGAAAAAACTAATTATACACACAATATTTTTCATATTAAATTCAATATAAATTAGAATAATATGAAGAAATTAACAACGCATTTCAATTTTGCGTGGCATATTTTGATTTCATAACTAAAAAGTTAAGCTCTACCGATATTACTATCCAAAAGAAGTAATCATTATATATTGTCTTGGGTGCACTTACTTTTTTTTTTTGCATTCAATGAACTCGTCTCATAATTGCCATTCTGAGCATGCGATTCATGTCAAAACGATATCGATTGTCTCTTGTGATATAATGAACAAGAAACACATGAATTTTCAAAAAAACTCATTCAAGATTTACTTCAATTTGAAGGATTAAGGGTTTAGGGATTTTGGGTTAGGATTAGGGTTTATAATTTGGGATTTTGGGTTTGTGTCAAAATTGAAGGCTTAGGGGTTAGGGCAATGGATTGATTAGTTGTGATCATATGTCATATCATCATATCAGACTAATGTTACCAATTAGAATCAATAATTCGATGTCTTAAGGTTACTTTTAGAGTTGGGTGAATTTTATGCACTCATTTTTTGTGGGTGCACCGAAGTAGCCACCTATATATATTGTCAAAGATATTCTCGAAAGGGACCAACTAGATACGAATTGGAAGCCTTTTCAGGCAACCACAATAATACATATAAAAGAAACGGAGACAGTGGACAAATCGTCGAACAATCGATAAAGAAGTACTCATTATATATATGAAAGTAACCTTAGAATTGATAATTTTTATTGATATAATTTTAAATTAAAAATTAATGAACCAAAATATGATAGGAATGGAAATTGTATACCATAGCTTTAAATAGGGTGAACTGCGATAACTTTGTTCCGACGACGACGTTCCTCCCCGTCAACCGGCCGCCAAACACTTCTCCAGCGTTAAATGACACCGCCTCAAAAGCGGTTGTCGAACCTAACTCGGTGGCGATGATGATCAATCCCAAGATAACGACACAACAACCCCCACCACCAATGACGACACAAACAAAAGTTCTCCTATGCCAAAGCGGTGACGGGATGGAACCCCACTCCGCCGGTGACCAATGGAGGGAGCCAGTGGACCAATGGAGGGAGCCAGGGGGAACGAAGCGATGAACCAGCGCTGATGGTGTCGGCTGATTTCAAAACCAGGATCTGTGCTCCGTGGCAACGCGCGTTGGTGGTTCGTCTGCTTGGTCTCAAACTCAGATTCTCAACTCTGTGCGCTCGTCTGCAGGGCTTATGGAAACCTGCTGGCTCAATGGAAGTCAAAGATCTTGATCACGGCTGTGTCCTAGTCAAATTCAGCAATGAACAAGACTACTTCCGAGCTCTTACAGACGGCCCTTGGATGATTTTTGATCATTATCTAGTGGTTCAGCAATGGTCGCCTAAGTTCAAAGTCTCTGATCCCCTGCCGAAGACTATGATCGTTTGGGTGCAGCTCCCGGGTTTGAAGATACATTTTTATCACAAGGAGGTGCTCACGACATTAGGAAACCTTATTGGAAGGACCATTAAGCTCGACTACCACACTCTGAATCAACAACGTGCAAAATTTGCCAGATTGGCCATAGAGGTGGACTTGGGCAAACACCTTGTACCTTGGATCTGGTTGGACGATGCTTGGCAAAAGGTCGAATACGAGAAGCTCCCGGCGATCTGCTTCGAATGTGGAATAATTGGGCATGTGGAGGAGAAGTGCCCGGAAAAATTTCCATCGCTACCGCCAGCAACGCTCACCACCTCCGACATCGCAATCCCGGTAGCAGTGGCGGCGGGATCGATGAAGGAGCCAAATCCGGGCTTCGAACCATGGCTACTGGTCCCACGGAAGAGTAGGCGGACTCAAAGGGATGGTGACAGAAAGGGAAAGATAGCGGGGAATTCGAGAATTTTTGCTTCGGGGAATCAGATCAATTCGGTAAACAAAGTGACTAATGGGAGGGGAACCTCCCCATTTAGGGAAAGAGGAATCTTCGCATCCTCTACCCCGATGTCGAAGCTATTGATCCAAGAAAGGAATACAAGCAACGGGAAGAAAATAGGTGATGAAGGGGAAACCAAAGCCTAGACCGAGGGTACTGCCAGGTAAAAAGGATTGATGGGCATGGGTCCCAATCGCACTCCCTAGCCAGTGAACAGGCCGAAACTCAGTATGGATCCCAATCAGCCCTCCACCTCAACCTTCCAGCCCATTCTCCAAAGTTGCAGCCCGACTAGCTCACTCGGACTGGCCTTACCAACCAAACATTCTGAGTCACTTTCTCAACCCATTAATTTTCCTCCTTCTCCCTCAACCCAAACGGTCATCGACCCTAATGAAACGAAGATGCAGATCATCGATCTCTACCAGTCTTCTGTTTCTCTCCAAAGCTCGCCGTCGGCTAGAACTCGAACCAAAAAGAGTAAAAACAAGAAAGCAGTTCCCCTAAGATCTCCGGGCAAGCTCATCTCATCGAAAGCTCTTCAAGTTTTGACTCCCAAGCAAGATCGAAAACCAAAATCAAAGGCTAGAATGGCATCCCTTACCCTTCAGGAAATCGATGCCTGGACGAGTGCTACTCAACTCTCGACAGGGAACCCAGGTGATTCTTATGTGGCAACCTGTCTGGAGGAGTCAGGAACGACTACCGCTCCGAAAAAAGAAGCCCTCCACCCGATAAATTGATTGATTCCTCTCTTTCGCCTCTTTCTCTCCTCTCTTCTTTGTCTTTGTCAATGTCTTTTTATTTTAATTTTAATCTTAAAATTCTTGCTTGGAATGTTGGTGGTGCAGGTGGAAGAGCTTTCCTTCGTGCTCTTAAACTGGTGATCCTGACTCACCGGCCATATTTTGTTATCCTCCTTGAGCCTCAGATTAGTGGCGCAGCGGACAACTCAGTTTGCGACAGCCTGGGATTTCGAAAGAGGCCACAGGCAGAAAAGGGGCATCTGGATCTTTTGGAGTGATAGTGTTTCCTCACCATGCTTGATCTCGGCGTGCAGTTAACATATTTCTCCCAGAATTGATCACCCCAGCCGTCCTCCTTGGGTCCTTACGGCTGTCTACGCTTTCCTAAGGCAAAGCGAGCAACGGGTGCTGTGGGACCACCTCATAAGCCATAGCAAGCAAATAACCATCGCTTGGCTGCTTACGGGCGACTTCAACGCCATTCAGGATTTGGAGGAGAAGTCGGGGCCACATGCGAGCAATACCATGAGGAGGTGTCGGCTGTTCAATGAGCGTATCAATACTGCTGAACTGGTTGACCTTGGGTTCTCGGGACCCAAGTTTACTTGGGGAAGGGTGATGAAATCCACACCGCAAAGACGAGTCAGCTAAACAGGAGTTTGTGTAATCTTTCATGGAACTCGACCTTCCCGAATACTTCAGTTTTACACCTTCCGCGTGTACAATCGGATCACAACTCCATCTTGACCTCAGTCTTCTCCTGAAGCGGCTCCCCTCCTAGTAGCTGGCCGTTCCGCTTCAAAGCAGCCTGGTTCACAGATAACAGGCTTCAGTAGCTGATCTCTAACAGCTGGGATAACCAGGCTCTTCTTCCAAATGCTTTGACTAACCTTGCAGGTACCCTCCACGAGTGGAACTCAAATGTTTTTGGTAATATCCAAGAGAACAAGAGGAGATACTTGGCGCGCATCAAGGGAGTAGAGGATCCACTTGCCCTTCAGTTCTCTCCCGGACTAGCCAAGCTTCACTCCAAACTTGAGGCTGAGCTAGACCAAGTTCTGGAGCAAGAGGAAATCTTCTGGTTCCAACATGCCAGAGACAAGTGGGTGAAGTTTGGAGAACGAAATACAACTTATTTCGACCAGCAGACCAACCTCAGAAGAAGAAGGAAGAAAATCGAAGCCTTACAAGATGAGGACGACAACTGGGTGAATGAACCCCAACCTCTCGCCTTGTTAGTTTTTGATTTTATCTCTAACCTCTATCTTCAGGATCGATATGTATATGAAGACAGACTACCGACGAGTCAATTTCCAAGGTTGGACCAGGAGGATTTGCTGGCTTTACTTTTCCCGTTAACGACCTTGGATATTCACAAAGCCATTTTTTATATGAAGCCCTTCCAGGTGCACGGTCCGGATGGCTACCATGCGGCTTTCTATCAACATATGTGGCGAGTGGTTGGGAATTCTCTGACTGACATGGCGCTTGCCTTCTTCTCGACCGAGGAGCTTCCACCCTCAGCTACAGAGTCTACCCTGGTGCTTATCCCAAAGGCGGAGTATCCAGAGAAAGTTACTCATCTCCGGCCTATCTCCCTCAACAATGTCTCCCTAAAAGTAATTACGAAATCCATGACGAGTAGGTTGAAACCTGTTATAAGGAAGCTGGTGTCTCCGCGGCAAAACAGCTTTATTTCTGGCAGATAGACGACGGAGAATATTCTTGTCATTCAGGAAGTCCAACATTCTCTCAGGAAGAAAAGAGGAAAGAAAGGAGACTTGGTTTTCAAGATCGACTTGGAGAAGGCGTATGATAGATTGAGATGAGACTTCTTGAGAGATACTCTCAAAGAGGTTAGCCTTCCGAGCTCTGGGATAAGATGCATAATGTACTGCGTAGATCAGAATAGGATGCAGATTCTTTGAAATGGGGAGCTCTCTCAACCTTTTTGTTCTTCACGTGGAGTTCGATAGGGAGACCCTTTATCCCCTTATCTCTTTGATAGCATCGTATCTGCACATGTTTGCACTCTTGTTTCCTGACCATTTTAGCTCGATTTTGTGGTTCCTTGGCCTATTTTACGCTAGGTTGTGTTGTTTTGTCGTATCTAAGGTCCTAGCGAGTAAAGGGATGCATAGGCGCAAGTTTCGGGCCATTTTGAGGTCAGTTGACGATTCAAGGTTCAAAATACGGCAATCCCCTGCACAATTACGGGCGTAATTGCCTCTGCCCTGACCATAATTTGAATGTCGAGCCAAAATCCCTGAGAATGTGTGTCGAAGATCAAAATACGAGCAAAAGCAAAATGAATTACGGTCGTAATTCCACAAATACTAGCAGTAATTGGGTAATGACGACCGTAATTCCCCTCATCAGTGTTAAGTGAAACGCGCGTTTTGGGTGAAATAAGGGCAGACCATGTTTACGACCGTAATTCAGCCCGTATTTCACCCAGAATCGGGTTTTTGAGGCAGATTCGAGCCAAAGGAGAGGGAATCGAGTATGATTCATTGAGTATGAAGAACCCTAGTTCCATGTGTTAGGAATCTTGATTGTAATGACTCAGGATTGATATACTGATTGATTTTAATCGATTGATGCATGATTCATTGAGTCAATTGAAGCCTGATAATCTTTTCTTGATTTCTGCTGCAACCTGAGATAGATAGAATCTGATTAGGTTGTTAGAGCTTCATCAATTGGTAGTGGTAGATTGGTTATACGAGAGTTAATCGATTTACTGCTTTGTACTGGAATCCAATTCCACTACTGGAGTTCTGCGTTTATTGCCTCAGCAGTCTATCCCGGTGAAGGCTAGTCGCCTGCCGGTTAGTCTGCCTGAGAGGGCTTGGTCAGCTTAAGAGATTCCAAGCTACTGTCGGATCTTCTGCAGTTTAATCAACAGTTAATCAACCTAGGGTAATTACTACCTTGGCCTAACTAAGGAGCTAGGGAGACTCATTCCCGAGTGACTCTTCCTTTGCTAAAGAACTTTGAACCATTTCCTGCTTTCTTACTGCTTTTACTTAAAATCACAATCACTCGACTTAGTTTTCTAGATAATAGATAATCATGGAGTAGGCAGTAGATCTAGACCTCGGGTTGACAAATAGAGCTTGCCAATTTACTGCATTTCCGGACTGCGATTACACTTGGTCGTAGTTTGGTGTTGTGTTTTAGCGTGTCACTCTTTGTTTTGTGTTTGGAACGCCTGTCTCGCAGAATTGGTCTTGCAGTTAGGGAAGGTATATGGAAACCTGTGAGGCTCTCTGCGAATGGTCCACCTCTGACCCATCTCTTCTTTGCAGATGACCTTTTGTTCGCAGAAGCACACAGTCACCAGATCACCTTAGTGAAGCAATGCCTGGATGACTTCTGTTTCAGCTTAGGTCAACGGGTCAACTACAACAAGTCCATCTTATATGTCTCCCCCAACATTGGCCGTCGAAAAGAAGCTCAATTGAGTAGGCGTGCGTGTATTCCCCTTAAGGAGGCTTTAGGGAGATATCTTGGGATCCAGGCAATTCAGGAGTGAGTGACCAAATGGCGATACCAATCTCTCCTCCTCCACATCCAGAAGAGGATGGCACCATGGATAGCTAAGCGATTATCCTTTGCTGGCCGTCTTACTCTAACTCATTTTGTGTCTACCTCCTTGCCTGTGTACAACATGCAGACGGAGCTCATTCCCATGGGAGTCTGCAAGTCAATCGATAAGTTCAATAGAAACTTTATATGGGGAGATGAGGAAGAGAAGAAGAGGATGCACCTGGTAGCTTGGGAGAAGATGACCATGTCTAAAAAACAAGGTGGAGTGGGCATTCGAACCGCTAGGCAAGCCAACCTGGCTATGCTGGCTAAGTGTGGATGAAGGCTCCTTAATGTCAAAGACAACATCTGGACTTAGGTGATGAAAGCGAAATATGGTCGACATCGTCAAGGACTGGATTTGATCCAACCAATTCAGGGAAGTTCCTTCACCTGGGCTAGCATTGCTAAAGTGGCTAGCCTCCTTAGGAAAGGTTGTGCGTGGAATATAAAAAATGATAGGAAAAATCACTTCTGGCTTGATTGTTGGATTTCGCAGGTCCCTCTCCGCGAGCTGGCCAGTGACAATGTCCCGTCTGAGCTCGAAGAAGCAAAGGTAGAGGATATGGTTCAGGACGATGGATGCTCGAAGAAAGAGCTCTTTGAGAATCATCTCCCAGACGACTTGATCAAAAGATCCTCAGTGTTGCTGTTGATAAAGAAACTGAAGAGGAGGATCAGCTGTTTTGGTCGCCCTCGCCGGACGGAAAATTCTCCACCAAATCTACTTTCCACCTCTTATCCCAGCACCTAGCGGACCAAGAGGAAAGTATTTGTAAGATCATTTGGAAACTCCCCACCCCGGAGAG